TTTCAATCGTAAAATCTGTAAAAAAGTTTGAAAAAATAGATTGAAAAATACAAAATATGAATAAAAAAATACATTTAATCTGATAAAACATCAAAGTTACTCTCGTTTTTCAAAGTCTTATGGATTGCATTTTGTTTTTATTTTCATTTACATAATATGTTTTTTGCTTGCAACAATAATAGAGCAAATTTCACTCCATACCTTTAAATCTTATTAATGAAAGAGTCATCATTTTGGGGCTTGCTCAGATGATGATGTTTAAAAGCATCTCATATCTTCAAAAGATCTTTAGTGGTAGGAAATGAGGAAGCATGTTGGCGATATTATGGGTGACACCAATAAAGTAGGCTACCATAAAAGAGTGGATAAAACCATAGAATAAATGGGATGTAACCTGATGTGAAAGAAAAAACTTAAATAAAACTTTTTTAATTGTTTTTTTTTGTCATTTACAGGACCTAATTGAAAACGAGTGGTGGGACATAGAGAATGTTTTTTCTGCTCTGGTTGTTATTGTGGAGGCAGCCCAGCATAAAGCTCTTAAGCCACTAGCGAATAGGCGGGATGAAATGGAGGAAGATGCCAAAAATCTGAAAGAGGAGCTGGAAGGAGAAATAAAAAAAATAGAGAAAACAATCTCAGAACTAGATGACGTCTCAGGGTTTGAAGATCACATCCTTTTCTTACAGGTCAGAGGGAAACCATTTTAGAATTATAAACATTGGTTTTAGAAGGTATAATGAATGATCAATACAGAAATACATTTTGCCTTAAGTGCCTGGAAAGGTTTGAAGCTTAGTAAGTCTGTACCTTTATCTTTATGTCTATTTTTCTGTTTTTCCAGAAGTATCCTTCTGTTTCAGTCCATGATGACATGAAGGACTGGACAGACGTTAAACTTGACAATACTCTGTCTTTTGGCTCCATGAGAGAAATTTCAACAACAATGCTTAGAGATATTCAGCAGGAGCTGAAGAAGCTGGACACCATTGGTAAGTGTTAACTTGTGGTAGGAGAAATATAAAGAATCTGGCTAACCGATATCTTTTTTTTACAGAACTGAAAAGACTTCAGAAGTTTTCAGGTACAGCATGTTTTTCTTCTGCATAATGGTTTTTCCCAAATATCATATATAATAACAAATGTATCTTAACCCATTTTAAATTTGACCTAACAGTGGACGTAGAACTAGACGCACAGACAGCACACCAACGCCTCATTATTTCCCCCAATGGGAAAGAAGTCAAAGATGGAGGCGAAATCCAGGAAGTAGCTGATTCTACAGAGAGGTTCGATGTCTTTGGCAGTGTTCTCGGACTCAACAGCTTGACGACTGGAAAGTCATACTGGGAGGTGAAGGTCAACAACAAGACCGGATGGGATCTAGGTGTAGCAAGAGGCAGTGCAGGCCGTAAAGGAAAACTCAAGCTCAGCCCAGATCATGGTTACTGGGTTCTGGTACATTATGAGGAGGAGAACTATGCAGCCATGATGAATCCACCTATTGGTCTTTCCCTGGAAGAGAAGCCAGAGACAGTCGGGGTCTTTGTGGATTACGAGGAAAATCTCTTGTCCTTCTATGATGTGACGACCCAGTCTCATATCTACTCATTCACAGACTGTTTATTCAAAGATGAGATATTCCCTTATTTCAGCCCACATTATAAGCAGGATAAGATGAATTCTGAGGCTTTGGTTGTTTCTAATGGAACACATTCGGAAATGGGCGAAGTTTGGAGGAGTTTTTGCTCCATTTGTCTTTAACCAGAATATCAAATGTTTCTGATTTAAGAGGTAATTTTACATAATGAAAAATTGGGGGAAATAACTATTTCTAAAAAATATAGCAACAAAAAAACAAATGTGTGATTTTTTTGGGGGTCAAATTTTGCAAAATTGTTTTTGAAGGAAAGTTTTTTTTATTACACCTAAACTCTATTTCAATTCTATAAGCTTTTAACAAAACATCTTAATGGATTACAATCCACATCAAACTACATGCTAACTTGCTGTGTCCACAGTAAGCTTAAACTACCACTGATGGAATCCCTGTCATCCTTTCCTACTGTTACAACCAACCTTCAAATAACCAGTCCTGTACTCATGTACAGTATGTAAACGAGAACATACAATGGCATAACTATCGGTAAGCAGAGTATGCAGTTGCTTAGGGGGACCCGACCTCTTAGGGGCACCATCACTGACACCTGGTTGGCCCCCTACACAGCTGTGGACTAGGACCTCCTTTGCAGATGTAATGGTGCGAAAAAATTTTAATAACTGTGTATAGTTCATTAGACGGTTGGTAAAAAATACACTCATATAATATGTTTTAAACCGCAATAAAGATATTAAAAAAAACACTTTATTTGATTATTAAATTTTTTACAATATGACTTGGAATTGTGTGTAATCCAGAGCATAGATTAAAATCATAATCTATGATTGATGCTAACTACAATGTGTTAGCGACAATGGATGCCAAAAAGAGACACTTAAGCGGATTTCAGAAAAGAAAAAGCAAAGAAGAATGGAAAAAACTTCCCAAAATAAACACGTTCTTTCAAAAAACCGAAGAGGCAGAGGTGGATGTTGCTGCTGCAGTGAGTCAAGATTGCGACCAAAAGAAGAATGGAGAGAGCGTGGGTGAGGAGGGGGCCTGTGAAGCGCAAGGTAGCCCGATAAGACTAATTTTACAGCAGAATATACTGAGTATATCCATGTCTGGTGAAGGTGAAGAATGATTAAATGATGAAGTGTGTATGTATGGGGCACATTTGGGGTTGGTTGTCTACGGCGGGAGCGGCGGCGTGGGGGATGTACATATGGGGCCCACCCAGATAATGTTAGTTACGGGCCTATTGTTGTGTCGTTACACCATTGAGTAAATATCATCTTTCTTTGTTGTACCTTTGCCACAAATAAAATAAATACATTGAATTAAATAAAATTGTATACTCTTTGCAGAAACCTTATATTAGGCAATTTCTATTGTAATCCTGGTTTATATTTATATATAATATTTTTTCGAACATTAAATATTATCATTTCCTATTAAACCAAAATCCAGGAAATTAAGTTAATACATTAATTTAAACTAAACGTAGCTTTTTTTGCAAAGAGTATTTTATGAACTTTAAAAAAATTACATGTTTGCAATACTTACCATCTTATTTTACATAGAAAAAGAAGAAAGGAAGAAGTACACAACTAGTAACATTTCTGTGTGGAAAACAGTTCAAAACGATCATGTGAAGTGTGTGAAGTAAAGGTAAACATCTGAAAAAGAAACAAACACATTAATAAAACAGGTTTAGTGAACAGTATTTCTTATTTTTCAGTAAGTTTGCTCATATGAATGATAATCCTTTTCACCTTCTTCTCCAGTGTGTGTTTTACACAGAGAGATCTCTGGAAGTATAACGACCCCTATGTGTAGTTTATTTGGTTCATTGTACATATCCGCATGTTACAAATATAACCGAGAATATATTATTTATTTATTTATTTATTTATTGATTGATTTTTTTAACCAAGAATTTAAGGTTTGTAGAAAATTATTTTAACATTTCATCACCACATTTTTAAAATCAGACTCTGCTTGGGGTCTTGGCTCCTCATTCACTTGCCAATTATCTTATTTGTTCAAGAAACCAGAAAATCTCCAAAATACAGACACAATAGGTGTAATCTAATCACCAGTCTGCTCCAGGAATTGGTTCATTTCAGTTAATTCAATACGTTGGTCTTTAAATGTAATTTTACTAGTGACTCAAAGCACAAACACTGTACAGTAAGCACCTATTGTTGATGCAAACATACTATACTACTATGAATTTATAACTGTCTTCCTGGCAGGCTGAGATGGACATAGTTGGTACAAAACTCTTGGTTGCAGATGGCTTTATACTGTACCTGAAAAAAACAAACACAAAAGTGGTAAAAATTATGAGGGCAAAGAAATTAAATGAACCTACATCAACCTTGTCTTGTCTTAGAGCATATCTACCTATATAACCTGTGCATGATGAGCAAGCATGAAGCAACAGTGGTGAGGAAAATCTCCCTATTGGGAAGAAAGCTCTGGCAGAACCAGGCTCAACATGGCCGGCCTTCTGCCAGACCGGTTGAGATGAGATAGGGAACGCAGTAAGAGTCCAGAAGGAATGACACACTGATGAAACTTTAGCTATGATAGTAGAGAAGGGGATGGAAGTGGGTTGAATCGGGGTCATCTGAACCGAAGTCCAACATAGCATGACCGCTGCCTGCACGTTAGGCACCTTCTATGAAATGTGAATTGGAGTCCCTTTTAAAATGAACTATGGATGTTGATTGGCCCATGACGGAGGCAAATAGTAATTGTTTCCTCAGTTGAACTTCTGCCTAGGGTCCATAATAATAACAAGACCTGAAAATTTTAGGTTTTGTATTTAGTTGAATTCTAAATAAAAATTTGGTTTCTAATGTTTCTCAAAAAGGGTTGGCTCAGGTTATCCTGAGCTATCTCTACAGTTATGCTGCTATAGGCTTAGACTTCTGGAGGACATAGGGACCCCGATTTCATCATTCTGCTTCATTCTCTCTCTGTTCTCCTATTCTGCAGAATCTGTTAGTTCAATCTCTAACCTTCTGCTCTATCTGCTTTTCCTCAGAGTAGCTTTGCCTCGTCTGTTCCTGTTTGGCTGTGACGTCATCCTAGAAAGAAACATCAGCTGTGCTGCTTCCATCAACACCCTTGTTTATAGATGTTGGAGATCGGCCTGTTTTCCAGTGTGGTCCTGTGACTGGGTGGGGAGAACTTTTACAAGATCCCGCAATACTTTTGTGAGATCCCACAATAGTTTTGCGGGATCTCGCAAAAGCATATTTTTTGCGAGACCTCGCAAAAGTATTGTGGGAACTTGCCACAGTTTATTTTTTCCTCCATGTCCCTTAAAGCTACAGTGTGTAATTTTCAGCGACATCTAACGTCCAGACTGCAGACCGCAGCAACATGAACATCTCCCCCCCACCGCTTCTCCCCCCAACAGTACGGCGAGCATTACGGGACAAAATGTCTTCCACGACGTCTGCATCACCTACCTTCTCAAGTGATGAGGTTTGTTTACATAGATAATTTTACAGATAGGATTTCATTAGTCTGTGTAGGATATAGATTTCATGTAGACTTAAGATAATAAATATACTTACTTTCGAGCGTAATGGGCGATCTCGCAATCGCTAGTTTGTTGGCTCTGCGCTGCCGTAGCGCAAAGATGTCTCGCCTCCATGGCTGCGAGACCCGCTCCTATGTAATAATAAATAACGAATTCTAAGGCAACGCAAATATTAAGGTTAAGAGGCTGAGCTCGTAGATGATGATAAATAACATAGTTATGTATAATATATTACATTTCTGACTGTATATCCCTGTAATTATTACACACTGTAGCTTTAAGGAGCTCCGTAAGATTCTCAGTCATAGTCATACCAAAAAAAAAAAAAAAAAAAAGAAAATCCACTGGACTTTGTTTAATTTTGAATTGAAAAAGCTTCCTGTATGGGAAGTGAAACATCTTCAAACTTGGAAACAAAGTCCAGTAGATTTTTTTTTTTTTTACCTTTTCCTTACTACAATCAATGCTGAAGTTATGATCCAGTGTTTTCTAACAACAGCTGAAAGAGGTTAACATAAAGTATGTGTCTGATCAGTCTAAAGTTTAACTGATATCTATTTCTGCTAACACAGACAGATATTCAGAAAAACTCAACATCTGTGGAGACAACAAAATATTTCTTGTAAGAAAAACAACACATTTTTAGACATAGGCTACTGGTATAGAGGTCTAGTCTAGGTCATGCAATGCCTACTGTTTTTTTTGTTTTATTTCTGAATGAAAAATATAATTAAAAACAACTAAAAATCTGTAAGTTTAAAAAGGAATAGCACTGACTTCTAAGGTACTGAAAGAAAGATAAACTTCTGAGTAAGCAGGAAACAGCTTCTTACTTGTCAGTTAGCTTGATATGAGCGGAAGTGTTTTACATACTATGTTCTCAGTACGTGTTTCATACAGGAAGATAAGAGACAAAATAGAGACTCTACAGCTGCACACACACTGCTGGTCTGGTCCAGGAATTGGTTCATTTGAGTTCATTTTCAAATGTAGTTTAACACATTTCAAACATGCACTAAAAGCATTGTAAAAATAGAAACCACAGTTACTGTTAATGTACTGTACTGGTATAAAACTTGCAAACTATATGCTTTGATTTCAAAAGTGCTTTTTATAGGAGATGGTACAATATCATGTCAACAACATTCACTCATCAGTTTAAACTTCACCCTCTTGTGGTTTATGGCTCAAAAAACAGAAGAACTGTTATCAAATGTGTGGGAGGAAACAGCTACTTTAAAGACCAAGAAGAAATGCATTTTACCTGTGAATTTATGAACTGATCAATGACAGTCATTCTAAAATAGTTAAAAAACAATATTCTGATAAACCAGACTAAATGTGAGATTAAATGTGTAATTTAGTCTGGCCTCAATGAATGAGACATCAGAAATTGTTGATGAGAACAACCCATTGTCTTTCAAACTATGTATGTGCCTATTGGCCAACGCTCTGACCAATGAGTGCAACTGGCAGTGACGTAGTAAGCACGGCACAAATACTGGTTCCACAGCTGATTAAATTGAAAACTGTTCAATAGTTATTGCCATCTCTCTTGTTGTGCTTTCTCCAGAGATGGCAAAAGTACTCACTTTCCGTACTTGAATAAAGGTACAGATACTTGTGTTGAAAAATACTCTGGTAAAAGTGGAAGTACTGATTAAACTTCTTTACTCAAGTAAAAGTAACAAAGTACAGGCTTGTAAATTTACTTAAAGTATAAAAGTAAAAGTAGAAACCACTTTTTTCATGCCGTTGCCTACATTTTAAATGGATGTCTGCCAATAGGACTAGATCTCCGTTGTGTTCATTTTCAATCATCTCATCGTCCATACAACTATGCTAATGCCACCGCCACCAAGCTGCAATGATTTGCCGTGAATGAATACCGCCGAATCTGTCGATTCATCTTGTAGTGGTGCGTCAAATGCAACGTAGATTCCCATCCAATTAGATTGAATTTGGTATTGATGACGTGAAAAATAATAACGGTAACTCCATTGAAATGATTCAAAACTAAAGTAACGAGCCAATTTTAAAAAATGTAAGGAGTAGAAAGTACAGATATTTGTGTAAAAATGTAAGGAGTAGAAGTAAAAAGTCACCATAAAAATAAGTAGTAAAGTAAAGTAAAAATATCAGAAAAATCTACTTGAGTACAGTAACGAAGTATTTGTACTTCGTTACTTCCCATCTCTGGCTTTCACCAGCATTGCGCAGCTTCATCGTCACGCCCTCAAAACCCCACCTGCTTTGCATCCAGAAATTCAAAACACATCTCTGCGTTATGATTGGCCCGCCATTTCTAGGACCTGGATCATTGATCGAGGCTAGACCACTCACAGGCAAACATGATTTCGCCCACTGGCGGGTGGGGCTATTTTACTAGACTAAAAAAACAGACTAATGTCTGGGATAGTGTTGAGTTCAAAGCTTACAGAGTGGCCCAAACAAAAGCCTTGTTATGGCTTCGAAAACATGCAACATGAACAGAAAACAGGTCCAATCCTTGTTGGCCTGCAAAGCCTGATACTGGCCCATGCCTCTGTAAAGGGGAGTCGTTCGGCCTGGGTAAACAGGCGAGATGTTTTGGTCCCCTACATGGCGATGAGGACTGAGATGACAGCAGGCAGGAATCAAATCTATCATGTGTTGTAGGTTTTTGAAACCTGAGTCCACCCCCTCTGCTTAAGGTTGGTTTTTCACCTTAACAGAGATGGCTTCCTTCGCATCCCTTTCAAACCACCCTTCTTCTTTTTCCAAAATGTGAGCATTTTTCTCTTCAAGCGAGTGTCCTATGTCCTTAAGGTGTAGGTGGACAGCAGATTCCTGTCTGGAGGAGGTCGCTGGTGTGTGTTGAGCCATGCGTCTGTGGAAGGTTGTTTGGTTTCTCCAATATAAAGATCAGAGCATTCCTCTGATCTGCAATCACAACTTAGCTCATCTTAGGCCTGGGGGTTTTGTCTTTAGAAAAAAAAAGAAAAAGAAATGTACTGGGATTTTGTGTTTGAAGAAAATTCTCTTCAGTTTTTAAGAGACTTAAGCAACAAATGGGATGGCGATGGTTTTGCATTTAATCTTCTGGCCAATGACAGTATTATAAACTAGTACCCTGGCTTTCAGTTGGAAACTGAAACATGACCTGAAGTTAGAGGTATTTCATTTAGACTTATGTTTCATATTAGACATAGCCATAGCATGTATTTAGTGTAATGAAATATAAAGGTGCAATTTATTTATCACAATTTACAAGGATTTCATGTGAAAATCTTTTGGGACCATTAAAGTACTCATAATGGAGATACCTATATTTTCATTGCTTGTTTTCTTACCAGCATTTGGCAAATTAACAGCCGACAAATGATAACAGACTTGTGACCCGCAACAAAAATAGAATATAATAGAATAGAATAGAATAGAACTTTATTGATCTCACAATGGAGAAATTCACTTGTGACATTGCCTCTTATAAAAAACAGAAGGTGAAAAATGGAGGCAAAGGTGCATGAAGTATATACAGTGCATACATACAGAGGATGGTGAAAAATAAAGGAGAGATTTAAGGGGTGGACATGTTCCCAAGGTCTAGGCTGGGACATAACAATAATTCATGTTTTATAGTTTCTCTTTAAATGACATACCTGTACATATTCATCCATTTTTCAACACTCACTAAAATAAGATAAAAGAAGAAAAACAAATTTAAAGTAAATGTATCTAAAAAAAAAATTAATTAATGGAAGCTGTAATTAAGCCCCATAAATCAATGCGGGGAAAAAAAAAAAAAAAAAAAAAAAAGTATTATGCTCCTTGTTTTTTATAAACAAGGATACGGTCTTTTTTTTTGTCTGTGCCAGCATATGAATTTTACACACAGTTTTCATTTTAAAAGGAATTGATCAAAACACAAACTGTGAACACATAATCTCATTTTAAAACCCATCTGCTCTTGGCAAAAATATTTCTCTTCATCTGCATTTTATCTGCATATTACACTTTGGTGACAGCCTCTCTTTCTAAACGCGAGAGGTTTCTTATCAGTATTTTCATCAGACATGAAACCTGCACAGGAAGGAATTCTAAAAGAAGAAGCCAAAAAGGTAAACGTCATGCGAATCAGTTTGTTTCGTTTGATGCTTGAGAAAGATAAGTTTAGAACTGACATCCTGGTTTGACATCTACTAATAATTTTGTGGGGCAAGGCAAAGTGTCTGTAGCAAAGTAAATAATGAAAGCTAAGTAGCTTCTGGTCAAGGATTTTAGTTTTATTCCTATTAAGAACAAAATAAACAACAAAAATATCATTACGTTGGTCTTAATCTAATGAAGGGTCATGGGTTTCAGGATTAGAGTTTTCTAAGATATAGCTGTGTAATAGTTGTTGAAATATATAGGCTCACATAGATCCTATAGAAAAATAAATAAAAAAATCCAATATGAACCTTAATTGAGAGATTAAGGGTTCTGGTGTTGTACTTTAACTTACTCTACATCAGATATAGAGTAATCTACTTTTATACTTCATCTAACACCACGGGCCTCACAGCGATTATAATGGAACCTGAGAACAAACTTTTAATGGAATTTTTTTTAAACACAGCTTTTTAATGTCCACCAGGGTACTAATGTCTTTTTGGCATCAAGACAATTATTCTTATTGCAACATTGCCAGACAGGACAATGTTTAAAAAACAAAAATGTTCTATATTGTACAACTCTATGATTAGCCAACAAGTTGCATTAAGATAAAATTATGTTATATTTTAACTATTTTAGAAATCCCCTTTATGTTTTTTTTTTTTGTTTGTTTTTTTTTTACATTAGCTATGCCACCAATTAATGCAGCAGAATCATTTACGGTTTGTTTTGGTTTACCTTTTTGATAATTGATATGCTTTTTGATTTTGTGAGTGGCATTAAATGGATCTTGTATGTTTTCTTTTATTTTTTATCAGTGATGCAAAAACTAAAAAGACAGAACAAAAAAGTTTGTTCTGTTAAATAAAACACATTGTCGGCTATTGGTTAAGGGTCTTGGATTTTCCCAGTATCTTTGAAAGCATCAGCGGGCGAAGGAACGGATGTTGAGGTTTATTCATGTTTTGCGCCAGAAATGAAACTGAAAGCACCACAGCATCACGCTGCGCTGACAGTTGGTCTGTTAGCTCTAAAACGGTTCAGGAGGAAGTCTGTGAGGTAAGAAGCACTGATATTTCTGTTAATTGCGTCATTTTAAACCTTTTTATGAGCCCGGGACATGCAGACAGCAGGTCTTCAAGCAGCTTTACTAAAACTTGATCTTTGGGCAAAAACTTTACCTTCAATTTTTTGTTTTAAGCCCTCTTTGCTCCAGTGTTTATTTGTCACTTTTTAAAGATTCAGAACACATTATTTATCAACCAGCAGGAGCAGGTCGCCTATTAATGTGTTCATGTAAAAAAAAAAATAAAAATAAAAAAGTTGTGTATTAATTTATATGTATGTGTATTTATATGTGTATACATCTTTTTCATCAACTATTTTTCATCGAATAGTTCACTTCCCTTTTTCATGTTAAATTTCAAAAATGCCATTACATTTATATGCAGAGATAACGTTTTGTTGTGAAGGGGTATTACTTTTTCTTTAAGATGCATTTCTTTTGATTAACTTAGTGCTATTCTTTATTTCATTTTGCTGCATCAGATGTTATCGATGTCTACACAACCGGCAGAACATTTGAAACCGCCTTCATTTCCTTTGTTTTTTTTTTTTTTTTTAAGAAATGAGTGATTTGTATCTTGTTTTAAAGCTTTGTTTTTTTTTTGCTCTGTTCTTGCTGTCTCTCTATATGCAGTCTGTACAAAAATCTGATGGTGTGCTCTAGGCACCTTTGTCAGGAACATTTTGAGCGTGAAAAAACGGTGTTATTTTTCTGAGCTCATATTTTATTGATAGAACTAATAAAATCCCACCCATAGAGGGACGTTTTGTTGAGTAGATCCTTGAACAGAGGCGTAGCCAGAACATTTCTATAAGGGTGGCCTGGCAATAACCAATATACACCAGTGGCGGCTGTTGGAGTTTTCTCCAGAGGGGGCTATAAATTCAAAATAGACGTATACCAAAAAATAATCAAACGTATACTAAGTTATCACGCCAGTATATTTATATGAATGCCAACAACAAAAGACATTATAAAAACACTTTATAAAACCTAAACATTACTTCATGTACAGGTTTACTTTTTGTAAATAAATCTTGCCCTTCTGAGGCTTTGTGAAGATAAATCGGTGTTTTTTATGGTCCAATATTGTGTCACAAACCTAAAAAAATATAATGTACCAGTTTAAAAATGGTGCTATAAGATGCCATTAGTCAGATTTCGTTTTTTTTTAATATATAAAAACTATTTATTTTCTGAGAATGCCTTTATTTAAGAGCAACAATGCAAATTAACAAACATCTAAAAAAAGTACACTATATTATATTATTTCCCTTGTGAATCCCAGATTGTTCACGCATATTTGCTTTTTCTAAAAAGTGCTTTCAATCAGTCCTACCTGTCTTTATCCATGCTGGATAGATCCCGATGTTTGAAAAAGGAAGCGGGAAAGCAGAATAAAGTGTTAGCCTTTCTACATGCAGTTAGCTAATCCTTTTTGCTAAACCAGGTACTGAAAAAGGACGGTTCTTTTGCCATTTCTCTCTATCTCTCTCCAATGCGTCTGCAACCACCATGACTCAACCTGTCAATCATCCGCAAAATGCCTGCGCTATGCAGGAGGTGGTGAGCAAATACACTTCCTGTCAACTCAGATCTCAGATTAGCTGTGCCCTGGGCTCTCCTTATACCATTGTATAGCAGAGGAGCTACCGTGCATGTACAACTTTCAACAAGAGTCATTGGAGAAAGATTTTTTGGGCCCTAGGGCAGAAATAGGTTATCAATGTGATGAAAAATGGACTGACGCTTTAAAGTAAATATTTATCTTGCACATTAAAAAATACATATTAATAAATGTTGAAATTTTTTAATGTTAGTTTAAAATCATAAAAAATACATATACATTTTTAATGTTTTAATCAGGGTTGTGAGTGGGTGGGGTGGTGCCCTAGCGCCCTCTATTTGCCAGTCGCCACTGATGCACACTGAGGGGTGGCCGAAAGCGGATAGGCACCAGAACCTCAGGGTCAGTCTACACTGTTCCAACAGGAGAGCACAACGTCCACATTTTCTAAATAAAGATAAACTATATTTTATTTTTTAAATTTGACGATGATCTGGTTAGATCTGGTGAACTGTAAAGTGCCTTGAGATGACATGTGTTATGAACTGGGGCTATAGAAATAAACTGAATTGAATTTAATTGAAACTGAATTATACTTTCCTACAGCATTTGCTAACAAATAGACACATACTGTATATACAAAAATTTTTGTAGATAAAAGGTATAGCGAACATCTTTTCCATTGTCATTACTTACCTGCTTTTATCAATAATCATTTTGCAAGATTTTTTCAATTGTTGCTCGCAACTATAGCTCACACTATATGACGAAACTGCAGGGTTTAGAAGTTCACAACTCACTATGCATGTTCTCACACTGTGCGACTCGACCCTCAGTGAACCAGGTCGGACTCAGCTCCGCAGTGAGATGGGGCTACTCGAAATCGTTTGTCCGGAAGCCAAACGTGTAGAAGAGGAATATGAAGCTCAATACAGTGAAACACGCTGCCTTGGCAATTTGTGCAGTTTTGTTTGCTTTACAGCCCTAAAAAGAAAAGGCGGCGACGTATTTGTACAAAGACATGGCTGAGCAAACGTGGCTACTACTATCTGTCAATTTTACATTAAGAACTCCATTTCACTCGCAACCCCGCCATCCTTCTGTGTTTACATCTGAGAGGAAGAAGAAGAAATCCTTGTTTGCGCATGCACACTGAGTGATTTGCCCATGACAGCCGACTGAATTTCAAACATTTGATCGGGAGGTATTCGTGGGTGGCTGTTCGCCCCTCGCTACCCCCTGTACACTACACAATGTACAACACAGAATCAGGCTGAAAGTTGGCCCGAACGAAAAATTCTCGCATGACTGAAAAATCTGAAAATACAGTGTATGCCCAGCTTAAAGGGGAATGCCGTTTTTCCTACAGTGGGCCCTTGAATTTACGTTATTACATCATGTTCTACTCACCCATATAAGTTTTGTGTCATTTGGAGCCGTTCTGAAGATATTCCGTTAGGTTATATCCAAGTAACGTCTTCCTATGGGCAACGACTTGAAGGCAGCAACTGAACTGTTCATAATTTATCATATATGGTACGCCACCATTCATAACATGTAGGCGAATCACTGTCCCCCAGACATCCACGGGTATATTTTTTATATCTATATGTTTTAAAAACAAAGCGACACGTGTATGACGTCATCCGTGCACGTGGACTGGAGACGTAACAGGAAGCCCGGGCCACACGCGGCTACGCTCTACCCCTTCTATTCATTCAGCTAGCTAATCTGAATCGTTCAATTCCATTTCGAGAGCGAGATCATCTGTGGCAGCAGCACTAGACATCTTCCAGGCATGTGAGTAAAACTAGCTCCAGTTCAGCGGACAGGATGACGCGCGGACGACGTCATACACGCACCGCTTTGTTTTTAAAAGATAAAAATATAAAAAATATAACCACAGCTGTCTGGGGGACAGTGATTCGCCTACATGTTAAGTTTGTGCCTTCAAATCGATCGCCCATAGGAAGACGTTGCTTGGATATAACGGAATTAGGGCTGGGCGATATAGAAAAAAAGCTTATCGATAAAAAAAAAATGCATATTGATCAATATCGATAATTATTGAAAAGATTTGAAA